AGGGGTTACGCCGCCGGGGGGCTGGCGAAAGAGCGAGGACCCCGGGCGCCGGCTCTCCCGGGCTGAAGGGGTGCATCTGACGGCACCGCCTTTGCGATCGGCGACGCGCCCTCTGAATGTATCTTCAGGGGCGGCTTTTGGTGGGCCCCGTTTGGGGGGCCGTGTCCTTAAAAGGAGCGGGGTGCGGTGATCCCATGCCTTTCAGACGCGGTTTCTGTGCCGCACCCCTGCCCCACCGCAGTGCGTCACGGGGCTGGCCATCCTTGTGACGCGACAGGAGTGGGACTTGGGAGCTGCGGACGCACCCCCCGAGCTCGGGCAACCTGGAGGAAGGTGCCGGGCGGGGGAGGGGTGGGGGTGGTCATTGCCAAGTCGGAGGCGAACCTCGGAAGTGCTCGTGAGGAACCGTTCGTAGGGCGGCCGGGTATGAGCCCAGGGTGGGAGCGGGAACACCTTCAGGAGCCCTGTGAGGAGGCAGCGCGGCAGGGTCCTTAGCATCCCGCACCTACACCCAGGGGTGACAGAAGGAATCGGCTCCAGGAGGAGGGTGTGCCCTCGTGACATTATGTCACGTTGTGTAAAAAACGCAGTCTCAGTTCTTCGCCGATTCTTCTTTACCATTTGGGCTACCCGGTAATGAAATGGATTTGAGGGCAAAGGGCCATTCTTTGCAGAAGCAAACTTTCCTGCCTATGAAGTAAGTCTATGGCAGTGGGTGCTCCTCCAGCTACCCAGCGAGACCTGCCCTGGCCTGCCCGCACCTCCTCGGGCCAGGTGGGCCGCAGCCCCTACCCCAGGATCACTGTGAAATTTCACGATTGGCTTAGAGTGAAGGAAAGAAAAGTAAAATCATTTAAAAAAAAAAGACTATGGCAACTAAAATGAGCAGTGAAAGCACTTTGAAAGTCTGGAAAGAAAACAAAATCTGAAGTATTTCTGCACTGGTGGAAACAGTAGTGGGAGTAAAAGTGTGAGGTCTCGAAGGAGATCTCTTAATTTAGCTTAAGAGGAACTGCAGTCCTAGCAAGACAAAGATATTTTAATTGATTTTGCAAAAGAGCCATCTTCAAAAGCATTTAATAAACATCTGTTTTTACTTGGCACTCTGCCCCAGGCAGACACAAAACTGACCCTGCCTATGTGATCTGTACTTGATTGGGTTAATTAAATAAGCAACAAACAGCTAATCATGGAAGCCTGTTAAAACATGTATTTTATTTTATTTTTTTCCTTTTTATTCACTTTATTAAATTTATTGGGGTGACTGGTTAATATGAACATATAGGTTTCAGGTGTGGGTTTCTATGTTACAAGAACTGTATATTGCTCTGTGTGCCCCTCACCCAAAGTCCTATCTTCTCCCATCGCCATATATTAAGACCCCCTTTCCNTTCCGTGTACATTTCATCCTGTGACTTCCTTTAACTCCAAGTATGTGCTTCTTCATAATCCCTTCCCCCACTTTTCACCCCCACCCCCTTCCATCTGGCAACCACCACACTGCTGTCTGTGTCCTCGAGTTTCAGATACCACATGTGAGTGAAGTCATGCGGTTCTTAGCCTTTTCTGACTATTTCACTTAGCATAATATTCTCAAGGTCCATCCATGTTGTAGCAAATAGTAGCATTTTGTCTTTTTAATGGCTGAGTAGTATTCCACTATATAGATATGTACCACATCTTCTTTGTCCAGTCCTCTAGTGCAGGACACTTTGGTTGTTTCCATGTCTTGGCCACCATGAATAATGCTGCAGTGACCATAGGGGTGCATATATCTTTGCGAATACATGTAAAACATATATTTTAATATTTTTATTTATGTAGAGCATTCAATAGCACAGCATAACTTCTGAGCATATTTTTTTGCAGAGTTTAAGGAATGTGTCTTTAGAAGAAAATCACATTTTAAACTAATGGATGCACAGCTTTTGGGGTTTGTGGATATTTTTGACTGTTTTACTATATTTCTCCAAGATATGTCCTGCTGACATTTCTACTTTTAACACTAATGAGCAAGCTGAAAGTGTTGAATCCAAAAAGACACTGCCATCCCAGCAGAAATATAGGCCCATCATAGGGTCATTTTTAACATTCTGATCTCAAATTCTGTATGTATGTGGTATACTCCAACCAAAGCATGTAAGTTTTCCAGTTTTGTTTTTAAGATTTTTTAAAATTGCTTTTTAGAGAGGGAGGAAGGGAGAGGGAGAAAAAGAAATATCAATGTGAGAAAGCTGAACATCCATCGGCTGCCTCCTGCATGCCCCCCACCAGGAATCGAGCCTGAAACTCTGGCATGTACCCGGACTGGGAATTGAACCTGCAACCTTTTGGTGCATGGGACGACGCCAAACCAACTGAACCACACCTACCTAGGCAGTTATTCAGTTTTTAAAATAACACTTCACAGAGGTAGAAATTATAGAGTCTTATAATATGGCTTTGTCAAGAAGTACAAAGAATTTAGGGCAAGTCACATTCTAAAGTGAATCATGTTTATAACTTAGCAAATGTAATACAGTGTTATTGGCCCAAGATAAGTGTCTTTTTGCAAAGTTGAAAAAGTGATCCCCATACTCAGCATCTGTCCTCAAGAGCTTCTGACTTGGAAGTAAGAGGCTGGCAGAAGATGAAAGGGAGCCTTAGGGAGTCTGGGTTCTAAGCAAGGTGAGCTGCTGAGTTCTTCAGAAATAGTTAGCCAAGAATTCTACACACAGTTCATTGCTGTCTACAATGTTCAGAAGGTGAGATGGAGAGAGAAAACGGAGAGGCAGCTCCTGAACTGCAACAAGAGCCATTGAGCTTCTAGGCTATACAAGCCCTGGGAGAGCTGCTAGACAGCATTGTTGATAATTTAAGACAAAACTGAGTTCACACAGCTGGAAAGAAGCAAAGCTGAGGTTTAAACCTAGGTGGGGTATTTAGGGGTTTTTTTGGTTGTTGCTTGTATTCCATTAAAAGGTTCACACCGTTGCCATCAAATAGGTCCATCTCTAATTGATTTTTGGGATTATTTGAAGAGCTGGCTTGGTTTCGTGGCTGAATGGGCAAATACGTCCGCTGTGGGTTTCTCAGGAGATGTGGGAGTGCTTTACTACATACTTGACATTTCCACATTGTCTTTCCTACTGTGAGAAATGTACTTGCCTAAGGGGTCCACAGTCAGAAGCATTCCGCTGCTTGGGAACCTATATACAAGTTCATCTTTCTGTTGCGTCTGCAGAATTTGATTTTTTTAAAAAACACAATTGTATTGAAAGCATCTTGAGAGATCTAGATAATCAGTGCCATGGCTAAGAAATCAACTTCTTCTAAGTCTTCTCAAATAGTGTTTCTGTTTCTGCCTAAGAGAAAGCTGCATTCTGGAATTCTCTAGAAATGCCCCTTGTGGAGAAATCTCTAGGTGTGTTATACTGCTAACAAAAATGCGTGAAGGAAATCCATTTAGGATCATTTTAACACCAATTGGGATTCTGATTCAGTCACTGTGGCCAGTAGCAGCTGCCATCTACAGCAGTACAAATGAGTTTTAACTTTTTGGTATAACTTTACTGCCTTGGAGAATGGGAGGAGTTGGGAGTTTCTATAGCTGGGGATTAAAGAACAGTAGATAAAAGCAGGTGCGTTGGGCTAGACTACAAAGGTCCTTCAGGAGGAAAGGAGAAAGGATAGCTAGCTGCTCTGGGAAGCTGCTTCCAGGGCACAATGGAAGGTAAAGGCAGTGCTCTCCTGCAATAGACAAATAACTAAACAGATTCGTAATCTTGGCTGCACACTGGAATGACCTGAGGATCTTTAAAAAATGCTGATGCCTGGGTCCCATCCCCATAGATTCTGATTTACTGTTCTGGGGTACAGCCCCAGGTGATTCTAACGTGCAACCAAAGTTGAGAACCACTGAAGCAGAGGAAGTCTTGGCCTATTGCATCCTGAAAATTTTGAGAAAATCTGGAGCAGTCTATGAAAGCAGGGAGGAGAGCAGAGTGAATGTGAAGCAAACCCAAGCATATCAGCACAAAAAGAGGTAACTTTCTGGTACAGAATTGAATAAGTAAAATGAAATTGGGCTGAATGGCGCAGCATGGTGAGAGATTTAAGCTTCTTTGCTAATTATAGGCCTCTTTGATGGAGACCTTGTGTGCCAAGCAGGAAGATGAGTTTACCAACTAGTTTGCTGCTCTGTAGAAGCTTGCTGTGGAAAAGTTACATTGCTGTCCCTAGAAGACACCCAGTCACCTTCTTGGGTTTTCTCCCCGAATCTTTTTAGCCAGGTGTTATTTTCAGCCCACTTTTTGGGGTGTGTTGTCTCTGCAAATGGCTTCATTCTTATTTTCCTCACTAAGTCTTATTTATGAAGAAGGCAATCTTCCAAGTTCTGGGAGTGGACTCTCATGTTGCCCCATCTGCACTAATTATTATAATGGATTTGGGGCATAAAAGGGCAAAGTAATGAATTTGGAATATAAAAGGTCAGTGTCTATCTAAATTAACAGGATAAAAGAAATTTTTTTTTCTAATCATGTGAGGATATTTTTCCATGGCTTTCAGAGAGAGTGAAAGGGGAGAGAGAGCAACATCGACGTGAGAGAGGCACATTGATTGGTTGCCTCCCACATTCTCCTCTACCGGGCCGGGCCGAAGATTGAGCCTGCAACCATGGTATCTGTCCTTGATGGGAATCGAAC